CCATCGTTCAGAGGCCCCTCTGTTTCAAACGTTACCTTGCAGTGCCATTTGGCGGCGAAACGCGGTAGAGGACACTACACGCCCTACTGCAATAATTGTTTGAGAATGGTCCTATGATATTTTCTACTAGGCATTGGCCTTGTGAGCTAATTTAATTCCGAATTTATTCCGCCTCGACAAATCTATTGCGATTGCGAATGATTTTTTTGCTTACTGCGTTTGAATGGATTTTATTTCAATTTGAAATATTTGGATTGGAGTATTGAATTTTTCTGAATTGAGTAAGCTTTGGTAAATTTGGTGTTGAAATTTTAAAGTATTTGGAGTGAGCTGTTGGATATTTTGAAGATATTGTTGAAAATATTTTGAGAAACCCCTCCGGTTTGAGATCTTAACAATTCACATCGGCCATTGCATCGGGTGTTGGGGTTCATTTTCTTTATGGACTGAACCTTGTCACTCTGTCGGGTCTGTCGACAGAGGATCGGTTCCATAAGGCTCTAATCCTTTGATAATTGAAAGTTGCTCATTGTTGTAGCCTGAAGGGCCTATATATGAATGCTATTAAGACAAATTATGACGGTGCGTCATCAAGCCGTATATTTGTTTGTCTGTTCGAAACCCTGTCGACTTCTATGTGAACCATATAGAAGGAATCGGTTTCGAACCGTAATCACTTGTCAACCCGCGCAGTCATCCCTAGACGGTCACGTTTTGTACCAATAACACGCGTTCTGCCGGGGCCCCAATCGGGGTTTTTATATTATTTTTACCCCTTTAGTGTACCTTATGTGTATACATATTTATATCCAGCGTGCAGGGTACTTTAAAATATTTTTAGACGCCTTCTTCTGCTTGACGGAGATTGCTATCCGGTGGCTAGCAGTTCTGAACAAATCTTCTGCTTTCGTACAGTAGAGCTTCGTCACTATGTTGATTTTGTAGGCGAGTTATAGGTCACTAAACTAATTTCCTGCTGGGTCATAAGGAGCTTGTACTTGTCGTATTCTCTATGTATTATTTGGTCCTGGCCTTTCAGTGCCCCACTGCTCATGTAGGTAGGTAGATTGTCTTTCTTTCACGACTAGAATTGACTCAGAATACTGGCATTTACTGATGTTGTTTTTTGTAGTCTAGCCGCCTTAGGGGTATGTTATTGTACTTACATCCATATTTGAAAAGGATTTGTATGTTATTGCAGATTCTTTTTGTTGTGTTGATTGATGATGATAACTGGAATGTCAAGTCTCAAAAGTTTGGTTGGATCTTCTGAACCCATTTTTTTTTCATCATTCTTCCACTTGAACAGCCGTTGAGAGTTATGTGCTTTGGCTTGTAGTATTATGTTGACTGTCAAACCATCAGCTCATTGTTACCTCCTGTAACTTACGATTATCATCTACATATCAGTTACATGTTTAAATCAAAGTGATTATACTAGCTGGATTGTTTAATTACATATAGATTTGCAAAGTTCCTTGATGATTGGGTGTTGTCGATGATTATTCTATTCACCATTTCATGAGTGACTGATCACTTGCAGTCCGTTAAACCATCCAAGTTTAAGATTAACACTTCCATTGCCATTTCAATTTGAAATGATAGCCTCCCCAATTCCATAGAATTGGTATCATTGCAAAGAATTCCTTGTTGATTATCTTGTCTTAATTAGTCTAACTTCATCAAGTCATAGTCAGTTCCCACGACTCTTCTTGCATAGAGATGAATGACCCAAATTCTCCTTAATTAACAATTTAATTTTTCAAGATTGAATGAGTAATTCTTTAACAATTCAGTCTAGAACTATGTCAATCGTTCAAATCAAATTCCCCCCCTTTAAATTTGGGTTTTTGTTTTTTACCTTTTACTCAAGTAATATTCTCAGTTCATAACATGATCCTTGTATTCCATTAGGGTCAATGTTGAGTCAAAGCTCTTTTTTCGTTTTTATTTTAAATGAGTCTAAGCCCGAAATATGTCGAGTTCAAAGTTGAGTGTAAGTCATCTGCGGTCCTAATAATCAAGTTCTTTGGCTCTGAGTTCAAATGTTCAAATTCTTGTTCATTTTCATTCGTATTGTTCAAAATCGAATGCCAATTCAAGTCCTGTGGTCCAACCTTTTGTAGTTCTGTAATTTTGAGCCAAGTCTTGTTCAAAAACTGCAAATCAAGTCAGTAAAGTCCCATAATTGTTCAACCTTTATATCATTCAAATCTTTTTTCTTTGTCAAATTATTTAATATCTTTGTTGATCAATGGTAGTTCATGTTGGTGTCAAGATTTTGAGTCAAATGAATCAAATTTTTAGCTCAACTTGAAGTTCCATAATAAGATTTCAATATTAGTTCAATAGTCCTTGATTTTTCAATCCCAAATTTCGCAGTCCTCTGTCCGGCGTCTCGCCATTTAGGGGAAAACTAGGAAATACTGGGCCTTTCCACCACGCTAAGAAAAGCGTGCAGGTAAGATTCCCTCGTTGAGGAACACTCGCGGTCCGTGTAATTTTTCGATCCCCACACGCTAAGAAAGCCGTGCATGGGTATTTGTTGTAAAAAAAATATCTTTTTTTATTTTTGAAAAATATTTCAAGAACAGTTATTTCCGCCAAGCGGGTACTTTATGGGTTATCCCGCTTCGTCGTGCGCTATCGCACCGGAAGTCCTCCACCACGCCCTAAAAAGAGCATCGCATTAGGCGGGTTATCCAAGGCGATACGGCACTTTCGAAGAAAAGGAAATTTAGGTGATTACGCCGCTTCGCGTCAAGCGTCGAGTAACGCACATCCTCTCACCGCACGTGCTATAGAAAAGCGTGCATAGTGGTTCTGTTTCTGTCTCTGACGAATCGCGTTTGAAACGCGAATTCTCCGGAGTTTAGGGTTAAGGAGAGTTATACTGGCTTTGCGTCGGTGTGGATCAAGATCTTAAGGTGAGTCATAAAAATTTAATTAGAATTAATAATAATTAGTTCAAGTTAAACTCAATTAATTATAACAAGATTAATATTAACATTAATAATTATACTTAGAAACTAATTTATTTAATAGTTAAATTATAATTATAATAATAATATTAATTAATAGTTAAAGATAATTAATTATAATTAATCCTCATTAATTATAATTAATTGTATACATTATTAATTATTAAAAAATTAATATATTTTATCTTAAATATTGATCATAAATTCAATAGAAATTTATAATTATTATGAATTAATTAGATAATTAAGTTATAATCAAGTTATAATGCTAATTATATTTAACAAAATAGAATTATAAGTATATACTTTTCATTATAATTAATTTATAGATAATTATAATTATTATATTTTAAATTAATTAATTAATTAGATTCTAAAAATTAGTTATAAATTAATTAGAAGATAAACATAATTTTAACATGAGTTACAGAGAATTAAACTCCTGTAACAAGAGTTAAATCTCTGTTTTAAGGATTCGATCGAAGACCGCACTCAAAGGGAGAAAGCCACCTACAACACCACGACTCCCTGTTTGTCTTCCGATCAAAAATCGATCCAACAGAAGGAAATTGGCGTCGGTAGACGAACCCGGATGGAGGCTGCTAAGGGTTTCGGGTATGTATAACAGACCTCTTCTCTCTCCTCTGTTGTGAAGAGTTCGATCGAACAGGGGTTCCGGCGGCTTCAATGGATTCGGTCTGTGGAATGTGCAGTAGTTCTCTCACTCACTCATCTCTCTCTCCTCTCTCTCTCTCTCTCTCTTCTCTCTCGGCCAGAGGAGATCGGGCAAGAAGCGGAGCTCGGCAGTGGGAGAGGAAGGAGGTCGCGGGATGAGCTGGAGCTTTTCGGAGTGTGGAAGTCGGAGGTTGTCCGAGCGGGAGAGAGCTCGGCAGGATGTGGGAGAAGGGTCGGGAGCAGCTAGTGTGGAGTCGGACAGAGGAGAGGGTGACGGGATTGGAAGAGGGATTTCGTGTGTGGAGAGGGATCGTGAGCTGGAGCCGGAAGTAGCAGACGAGGGAGAGGGAGGAGCTCGGGATGAGAGGAAACGAAGTCGAGGAGATTTGGTCGGAGGAGGGTCGATCGCTGGTGTAGAGGTAGCGACGGGAGCTCGGTCGTATGAGAGGAGTCGTGCGAGAGTGAGGATCGAAAGGAAGTGTCGGGAAATGGAAGAGAGAGCAGCGAACGGGGGAAGAGGCAGTGGAGGTTCGGTATTTAACGATGCATTTGGGCGTTCGATCGAGGAGAGGTCGCGGGATTTAAGCAGAAATCGCGTGAACTGAGCGATGCCAGCGCCGAACCATGTCAGGTATGCGGGATTTCTTGCGGGAATTCGGGAGATTTGGGCGGCTTCTCGACATATACGAGGTATGCCATTTTTGTTATTTCTTTCTCTTTTTGTTCTTTACACAGAGGTCAACAATGAATCTGTCATGGGAATCACCTACTACTAAAATTTGCTCAATCATGATGGAGTTGTGAGTAAGATCAATCCAAAAATCACTTGAACTACTTGATCCTAGCCAAACAATGACTATGTACCACTTGCTAGGGAAGGATGAAGTAAAAAGAGGCTAAAGTTGAGCAAGATAAATATCTATTGTTGGAGGTCAAGTGTTTCATATTTTGTAATTAAGTCCAATGCCTCAAATGCCCTTCTAATACATAATTAGCAATATCAGGAGCTACTGCTTCTGCCGCATGGTTATAGCATTGCTTATAGGTTGGTTGCAAAAACAAGTCTACTAGCCTGTTAACAGTACTATGAAAACAAAGGACTGTCCTGATCAGGCCACTGGAACCATGCTAATCCACAATTAAGATGTCGTTACTTGTTTCTTCCCATGCTTAGGGTCCAATTTTTGCCAGAATGTCAGATAGTGTGCTAAACCATCCAACTCTGGAACTTTCCATTAGATATTGCTACTTTTATGTTCCATCCTTAACATACCTTTTCCTTCTCACCAGTTTTCACTGATTTAATAACATTTGTAATGCTATTGAATTTGTTTGCTTTCTAAGGTAGGAAAAGAAGAAGGCGTTCCGTTTTCTTAGGCAGCCAGAAGAAAAAGAGGAGATTAGTAACCTTTTCTCCTAGTAAAGATCCGAATCAAAGACTAGTGCAAATGGCTTCTCTCGCAACTGCTCTAACTTCTTTGAAGATGGAGTTCAGCAATGATTTGACTTACTTTCCTGGAATGGCCCCTAGCTCTGCTAATGCAGCAATCCTAGAGAAGGGAGGAATGCAGGTTTAAAAATCTATTCGCAACAGTCCATTTAGAGTTGGTCAAAATCTTTTTTTTTTTTCTAGTGCTTTCTTTCTCTATTCCCTACTCCACTACTTTTTCTACTAATCAGGTCCTAGCTAGAGAAGATAAAGAAACAGTAGAGCTCTGCAGGTCCATGTACATGAGAGGGGAATGCCCTCCCCTGGTTGTAGTTTTTGATTCATGTGAAGGGTAGTTGCCTCAGCTAAATTCACACGGCTTATTTCGCGACATACTTTTCCATTATATAATTAACAATTGCCTTGGCCACTGCAGCTTCACAGTCCATGCTGATGAAGACATAAAGGACATGACCTTTATCTCTGAGTACACAGGAGACGTGGATTACCTAAAAAAACGAGAACATGACGATTGTGACAGCATGATGACCCTTCTCCTTACGACAAATCCATTTCATAGCTTAGTGATCTGTCCAGACAAAAGGGGAAATATTGCTCGGTTCATCAGTGGAATTAACAACCACACTCCGTAAGCACTGCTCTAGTATTCTGGATGGTTACTGTTATTATCATATTGGTTAATTGGATATTTTCTATGATGTTGGGCTTGGTTCCAACTGGTCTTGCTGGAGCGGGTGTTATGCTGATCAGTTTGGAAGCTTCAGGATTATGTTTTGGAAGGGATTTTCTGCATTGATTTGGTTGCCGACGTAATGTCGCTGCCGGGCTGAACTCTTATTTATGGATGGGTTTTTTTATGCCTTAGACGATGATGTTTACCCGTCCCGGTTACCCTTTGGATGGTCTTCGGGCAACCGAGGGTGCCAATTTAATTTGAATCTGCAGTTCTCTCTGCAGTTGATCACTTTTGTTCCTGAGTCCTGGCATTTTTCGCTATTTGTCTGTTTTTCTCCTTTTTCCTGTTATAGTTTTTGGTTTAGCAATCCTTTGACTGTTGCTTCTGAGCGTAAGCTCAATTTTTGTCTGAGCATTGTTTGCTCCCCTGTGTTTTTTTTTTTTTTTCTTCCTCTTTACATGATTAATGAATGGGCTTGGCCATTAATTTCCCCAAAAAAAAAAAACTTTGCTGGAGCTATCCAAATTCTTCCTGCAACTGTTGGAGATACAGAACTTTCTATGGCTGAATCTAACCATTTTTTCTTTCTTGCAGGGAAGGTATGAAGAAACAGAACATTAAATGTGTCAGATATGATGTGGATGGGCGGTGTCGAGTCTTACTCGTCGCTTGCCGTGACATTTCTCGCGGTGAAAGACTATATTATGATTACAACGGGTATGAACAGGAATACCCAACTGAGTATTTTTTGTAATATTTCCCGAAATATTGTTAACCCATTTTCCTAACTTTTCATTGGAAATCATAAATATAGGACCGACGGGACTGTTTTTTTACTAATGCTATAATGGATTTATTTACAACGAGCGGATACTATTTCAATGGATAGTACTAAAATTATTAAATCCATATTCCCAATTTGTAACCTTGGAGGGATTATTTGTTGAAATTGTTGTAGATGATGGTTCTTTGCTAGGTTCATCCTGAGCCTTATCCCTAAGACCATAACACTCTAATAGTCTAACACATTGAGGCTTGGTTGTGGCTTTTATTCATTTTTGTTGTAGGTTAATTGGTGAGACATTCAGATTAATGACTACACATGCAATTATTCGAAGTCATAAAATCAATTGTACTTGTAAATTGTAATGCATTTTTATATTTACAATTTTAGAAAGTTATAATTGTTGCGGGCTTGAATATATGCGGCGATAGAGTTTTAACTATACGTCTTAGCTTTGCACGGATATCCAGCACACACACAGAGAACACAAGATTTTTTACATGGAAAACCCTTGAAAGGGGAAAAACCATGAGGTCTAGCCCAGTTGAATGATTCCACTAGAATATAAGTTGGTTACAATGGTCTGATTCGCCTCCGAGGACGATCAGATGACAAATAACAACTGTACGATAGAAGTTCGGGTGTCTGGTGATGGTCTGGTGGAACTTCGGGCCTCAGGTGATAGTCTAATGAAGGTGAGGGCCTCTGGCGGTGGTCCGGCGAAGTTCCAGCGGTGGTCCGGCAAGGCTCTGGCAGTGGTCCGACGAGGCTCCGGCGGTGGTCGAGGAGGAGCTTCTTCCTTCTCTTCCTTCTCTTCTATTCTTCTCTTCTTGATTGGGTCCTCTTTCAAGAGAAATGAGGGGTCTATTTATAGATTTTCTGGATTGACATGCCCCGTAAATAGGCGAGAGATCATGGGTAAATAAGGAGTGGTTGGATGGACGACCGATATTGAACCCCTTGATCATGGACCGTTCGTCGGGCATTTGGAGGCCTTAGTGATTTTGGAATTCGATGATCTTGGGCTCGTTGGATTCGTCTCGTCAAGCCGTTGATTCAAGTATAAGCTTGTTAAAATCGGAGACCGTTTGGTAACTCAAATTGTGATTCGAACCTTCCAACAGCACTTCGAGTCTTTGATTTAGACTCATTTGGGCTCGGATCGAGTTGAATTTGGTGTCGTTGGGTTCGTATTTCCGAGATGCTCATTTTGACTATAAGTTCACTGAAATCGGAGTTCGGGAGCTCCATGATTTAATTTTTGAAATTTCCGACTCCATTTTGCATCGAGATTCGTGCCCAATCAAGATAAATTTTTGACGATGTATCAATAATGATTGTAAAATGTGTATTGTGTAATGTATTTTTAAAATGTAAAGAATTAATAAAACTTTAATTTTATTCATTTATTGTTTATTGTTTCTTTGAATTTTGAATTTTAGAATTTATACAATGTTCTTATTTTTATGTTTAATTTTAAAAAAAATTGTCAAAAAATAACAATATAGGGTAGGCGGTCGTGTCGACCTGACCCTGACTTAGCCTTGGTCGGGTTTGGGTTCAGTAAGTGGACCCATAGAGCTAAGTGGGTCAAATTTGGTCAACTTGTTTAGTCCTGGGCCAGTTTGGATTTGACCTGAATCCGACTCGTTAACCCGAATTGACACCCTCTAATTTTCAGCATGTATATATACTAAAGTAAGGCATCAAACTGCAATATTCAGGTCTGGCAATGAAAAAAAAATTCCGTGTCTATAGAAATCGATCAAAGCTAATCATTTTTAAATATACTAAAATTAAACTAAATGATAAATTTTAAAAATACTTAAAATTTTTTTCTGTATTTCTTTTATTTGAAATCAAATATCAATATTTTCAAAATCCTGAATTTAGAGTGTTTTACATCTTTTTATTTCATATCAAACTGCCATAATATAATTTCTAACATAATATACTGATATAAAATTTATTATTATTATTATTGTTTAATCTTAGGAGAAATAATCCTGCCACCGAATAGTTCAATTTCTTTCATTTTCATATTATTCCATTCCGTTTCAGTTTTTGTTTCTTTTGGTTATCTTTTTTGTACTGTTTGAATCGGACAAATGCTCTATCAGTTTGTTTGGCAGATGGGTATACCCCTCTTATTTTTGCCGTTTTGCACAATACAATAAATTCTTGTTTTTTTATTTGGAATTATTTTTTTTATTGTTTATTAAAATAGTTTTTAGGTATAAAAATTAAAACATTTATATTAAAATTTATTTTGAAAAAATAATTAAAAAACCGTCCAAAAAGAAACTTTAATCTTATTATTATTTTATTATCAATCTTTTTGTATTTTTTTAAAGAAACTTTAATCTCTTGTCACACGGGCAAATTATTGCATCCGATCACCGGACGCGCAGAATAGGTTCGGACATCCAATAAAATTTTGCCACGAATCTGCACTTTACATGTGCTTTACTTGCGCTTTACCTGCGCTTAGGGGTGTCAATTTCGGGTCACGGGTCGGGTTCGGGTCGAACCCGAACTGACCCGGGTGGAAAACGGGTCAACCCTAACCCGACCCGGGTAGAGAAACGGGTCGAAAATCCGAACCCGGACCCGACCCGGCGGGTTGCCGGGTTGACCCGACACGACCCGGAACCGCCGCGGCAGCGCGAGCGGCACGCGGCACGCGGCGGGAG